TTGAAGTTGAGACTGTCTGAGAATAGAATTGCTACCCCAGCTTTTTTCTGAGGTGCTGGGGCATGTAGTATTTTGTTCCATCCTTTGACTTTGAGCCTATGAATGTCTTTATGAGTTAAATGTGGTTTGGTAACTTTTAATCCAGTCAAGTTGATGATCAAGAGTAACAGTTACAGATGCTTCAGTTTAAGTCTACAAGATAGCCACACACAGAATTACGTGTTTAGCAAATGCTGCTTCACACTGACAATAAAGGCAGAAATAGACACAGCTGGGGCTCCCCAGCATTCTGGCTGACGCTGGACAAGCACAGTGTCCTCCAAGTCTAGAGTCTAGCAAGATGACAACAATGGGAGCTTCTATTTTATGGAAGTAAATTTGTCTGAAATGTTTTTACCTAAAATCCAACTTGTGTTTTGGACTCTGAGACCAAAATAACAGCCACTTCTCAGGTCTGTGTGGCAACCTCCCTCTACTTCCTTGTTAGTTTGGCCAACTGGAATCTCAAGGTACTTTTCTACACAGTGTGTCTACTGCTGTGTACTAACAGGGAAGAGAATGGTTTAGAAGTAACTCAAGGCTACAGACTATCTCACTAAGTTTTCTATTTTTCTGGCTTCTGTGAGGTGAAAGAAAAGACAAATGTTTTTTGAGTTTTCTTTAAACAAGAATTCTTCTTCTATTCATTGGTGTAACATGCAAAAATATTGTATTTTTCTTCACCAGCCAGCCCAATGCCTATTTAATACTTATCATTTGTTAAATGTTACTGTGTAGTGTGTGTGTGTGTGTATTTTTGTGTAGAGACACACCGAAAGATCAGCCTTAAGTGATACATTCAGTGAAGTAGCGCATTTCTAGACTATCCACATTTTAAAGAAGCAATATAAACTCCTCAATATGCCACACTCAAGTACAAGAAGAGCTGGTTTTAAATCTGTCATATCCTACCCGAAGTCAATGTTCTCATTTCATTTCATCATTTTTCAATTACCTTTCTGTGATTTCACTTAATTTTTATGGCTGTTTA